TGCCAATCCTGAAAGGCTTCTGATGCGTTGGTGTGCTCACCTCAATGAAATTTTTACTTTAGAATTTTCTAAATGTAGAAAATTACACAAACTGACCAGTTCTACTCCTAGGCTTTGTTAATGGGGTTCTGTCATATTCTTTTTTCCTAATGTGGTCAGCAAGCTGTTTGTGGATTTCCAGTTGTAGCTATATGACAATATCTGTGGAAAGGGTTTTGTTGATTGCTCTTAGAAGTACACCACAAAATTTAGGGCCTATCTTCTCTTGGTTTGTTTGCTTTTTTGAACAAATAAAGCTTTACAAATCCCTACTGCCAGCCACACTGAGAATCCAGATATTTAGCATTTTCTGTTTATTTTTAACTTGCTTTTGTGGTGGTGCCAACCAGAGCTGCTCTATCACTGCCCTCCTCAGCTGGCCAGGGGAGGGAAAATATAACCAAAGGCTCATGGGTTGAAATAAGGACATGGAGAGATCACTCAGCAATTACTGTCACAGGCAAAACAGACTCGACTTGAGGAAATCAGCTTAATTTATTACCAACTAAATCAGAGTAGGATAATGAGAAAACAAACTCCAAAACTTAAAAACGCCTTCCCCGCACCCCTCTGTTCTGCCTGGGCTTAACATTACTCCCAGTTTCTCTACCTCCTCCCTTCACAGTTGTGCAGGGGGAAGGGCAATAGGGGTTATGGTCAGTTCACCACACGTTGCCTCTGTAGCTCCTTCCTCCTCAGAGGAAGGCTCCTCATACTCTTCCCCCACTACAGTGTGGGTCCCCTGTGGGATCATCAGTCCTGCTCCAGTGTGAGCTTCTCTCTCCACAGGGCCACAGGCCCTGCCAGGACCCTGCTCCAGCGTGGGATTCCCATGGGGTCACGGCCTCCTTTAGGCATCTCCCTGCTCTGGTGTGGGGTCCTCCATGGGCTGCAGGTGGAGATTTGCCCCACTATGGACCTCCATGTGCTGCAGGGGCAGAGCTGCCTCACCATGGGCTGCACCATGGGCTGCAGGGGAATTTCCTGCCCTCCTTCTGCACTGACCTGGGTGTCTGCAGAGCTGTTTCTCTCACAGATTCTCACTCCTCTCTCTGGCTGTAATTGCTCCTGCACAGTAACTTTTTCCCCTTCTTAACTATGTTATCGCAGAGGCATTACCACTATTGCTGATGAGCTTAGTGTTGGCCTGTGGTGGGTCTATCTTAGAGCTGGCTGCATTGGCTTTATCAGACACAGGGAAGCTTCTAGCTTCTTCTTGAGAAGCCTCAAGCTTTGCCACAGAAACCACATACAGCTTTGTAACTCTTGGGACAGCGCTTCTTTTGCAGGTAAAGGTGTCAGAATTTCTGCTGTATTGGAACCAAATCACTTGAGTTTCATTTTGTGAACAAATGCAGCTTCACAGATCATTGCTCAGACAGTGCACAATGGAGAGGACAAAAACAAGCAAACAAAGGGAAGAAATGTAGCTATTAGTAACCCTGGTGGTACCTAACCAGAAAAGGGTTTGCATTCTAAGTAGGGATGGCAGTCTCCCTGATACAGAGCTCTCCAGGTGTACAGACAAGATGTTGCCACTTCAGTTAAGCAAATAGACCCAGGGACTGTTTTCTTCCTTAAGCCATCAAGAGGCTTAATTTTGTAAAACTTTGTCCTTTAATATCTTTGTGAGTGAACAGATGCAAGGCAAATTAAAACAGCTGAGACTGTATCCAGACTCACTTCAGCAGACTGCGGCTTTCCACAAGGGAGTTATACATCAGCTGAATAATGCAATTTATAAAGAGCATGAGGTGATCTGCATTTATCTACATTCAGGAAATAACTGCATAAAATGAGCCTGATTCTTCTCATATTTACTCACTTTTCAGATGAATTCCAGTGTGATTTCTCCTTACAGCACCCTGAATGAGAATCAAAACCCATGGTTTCACACAGCAGCAATGAATCCAAATAAGCTGGTCTGCTTTTCAACAGTGTCAAAAATGGGCACACATTTTTAGGGCATCCATGCATCTGCCATATGCGCATTATACATCCATGTGAGTTCAATCAGTGTAAGGGATGGTATTATAATGGGTGGTGCTTCTAAGAGACATGAATTGTACCACAAATGCAAGCTCACCTTCCGCTGCTCCACCAGGCTGGGGACTAAGCAGTGATGCAGGCCCAGCCTGCCCTTCTCTTAGGTCCTTCTTATAGGAGGTGGCCTCCAGCTGAGCCTCTCTCAGTGTGACAGCAGTATTTCAGTGCAGCAGTGCAGGGTCCTAGGAAAGCCACTGGCTCTCCATGGATGTCTGCCAGAATTGAGAGTGGCTCCTGTGTATGCTCAGGGCTCCTGCGGAAAACACCAACAGTGAATGCCTTGAAAATATCTTTATGGAGGTTTTTTTCCAGGGAGCTTTTTGGGTAGAAATACTTCTGAAATACTTTTCCTGCATTAAATGTTTGATGTACTGCTATTCACTTCATGGCCTGTGGGAATTACTTTTTAGTGTCCAAGAGCTGTTCATGAGCAGATCTATGACTGTGTTCCTATCTCCTCCCATGAGCTTTCATTCTTCTCTCATCTGTTAACATCTTGGTTAATTTTCCAAGGAGATAGAAGCAAGGCCTTACAAATGATAAATGCTACTGAAAATAAAGGGGGAGACTTAAGAAGACAGGCCCAGCAGACAATATCTCTTTTGCTGGGATTTGGGTCTACTGAGGCATGCTTTCCTTGTGGATCTGACTAACAAGTCATCACCTTTTCCAGATGACAGGAAAGAGTAATAGCTGGACTCTTCTTGGTCTTTTCTGCGTATGTGCTCTTTAGTTTTTTCAAAATGAGATCCCTGTAAAAATGTCACATTGCAGCACTGCTCAAAGGCTATTTAATATTCTTCTTTTCTTTAAAGAGCTATGTATTCGCTGACATCTGAGGTTCTTTAACCAGCTCTGGAGATGGCCCATCTTCCTCATCTTTTTCTTGCTGACTTAGAAGGAAACACACACACACAAAAAATCCCTAATCTGTATATTTCCCATTTAACTTATGGAAATAGCTAGCTTTGGGAGCAACATATCAGTTCCTGAGGTTCTTCTGTTGCCTAAAATTTTACTAAAGAGAAAGGATTTGGGCTAGTCATGTTTTTAAGAGCTACTTGCTAAACTAAGAGTTTTACAGAATCTAATTCACTATCTTCAAGCTAACAAGGCACCAAACATGTCTTTATAAACTCCTTGTTCAGGATATGGAACATTTTCAGGCTTAAACTGGTTTTAGTGTGATTTTTCAAACAAGCAAAAAACAGGATGTTCATTCCTGTGGAAAATGTAATATTTCACACTGTTTCACTCCAAACAGGGATAGAAATGTAAATTGGAATTGTGTTTATACTGAAGTACTATGATTTTTTAATGTTGGAACATGTAATCTTTTATGTAAGGATATTATAAAGTATTTGGTATGAAGAAATATATTCAGATCCTCTAGCATGAAAGTTGAGTGAATGAAAATGATAGTTGAGGTAAGAACTTTATCTCATAAAAATGAGCCATTTTTCTCCACTTGTACTTAATTATATTTAACCAGTTTAAATAAATTCTGTTAAAAATGGAAAACCATGTTTTACTAACACTTAAAAATGAATAAACCTATAGTCAAAAGTTGTTAACCGAAAACCTATCTGATCAGTTCTAAAGTAAAATAATCATCAAAATACCTGCTCAGTTGCAAGTTTCAACAGCTGTTTTGATCCTGTGAATTAAAACAGGCCACAGTTTTCCATGTGGACAATTTAAAATGGTGCGACTATACCTCTCCATTTCCAGAGGAGCAGGTGTCCTGGGTTCAGCAGTAGCAGTCATTTTTCTCCTTCTTGGTAGCTGGTGCAGTGCAGTGTTTTGACTTTCAGCTCGGGAACAGAGCTGATAACAAGGATGTTTTGGTTTGGCCAAGGACTTTGTGAGCCTCATGCTCTGCCAGGGAGGAGGGGAAGCCAGGAGGAAGCAGAGACAGGACACCTGACCCAAACTGACCAAAGAGGTATTCCATACCACAGCACGTCATGGCCAGGATGTAACTGGGAGTGAGCCGGAAGGGCTGGGAGACTGCAGGGTTGGAGGAGGTATCGGTCGGAGCTTGGTCGGGCTGGGGGGGCGAGTGATCGGTCGGCTGGTGGGGCGAGTGATCGGTCGGCTGGTGGTGAGATGATGTATTCTCTTCCCTTGTTATTTCCTTTATCATTGTTATTATTGGTGGTAGCAGTAGTGATTTGTGTCATACCTTAGTTACTAAACTGTTCTTATCTCAACCCGTGGGAGTTGCATTCTTTTCGATTCTCCTCTCCGTCCCTCCGAGAGCAGGGGGAGGGCAAGAAAGTGGGGGAAGTGAGCGAACGAATTACCTGACTGGGTTTAAACCACGACAGCAGGTAAGGACAATAATCGTATTTAACATTGCTTTATGGAGCCATGTAAGCACTGATGAATGTGTTGAATTGATTTTGACTGATATTAAAGAAAAGCCAAGTTATTTTCCTTGCCTCCACAAGTATATCTGCCTTCTAGAGCTCTGGAGGTCAAAACACTACATCTCCATTACATATGTCCTATAAAAGCCCCCACGGATGCTAAGCACAGTAGCTGTGATGTATATAAATGCATCCCATAGCAGTTTATTGGAGTGAAGTTTGGTGAATGTGCAGCAGGATCAATGCATCTTTGCAGATTCTGCTATTCTCCAGTACAAAATGCAAGAAAACCAACACCTACAAAAGTTGCTTGAGTTATAGTGCATGATCACCAGCAAAATAGTTTCACTACTACTTCTGCAAACGGCAATGAAATTCCCTCTGTGGATCCTTATAAGAAATTCCATGCTCACTCCCCAGAAAAATGAATGAGGATAATACCAATATAGTCTCAAATAGTCTCAAATATTATCAATAGCCTAACTGAGCCAAATTATACATTCCATTTTATTTTTTCCTTTCAAAATTTTCTAATTATTTTTAAATTTCTTGCAAGTATAAAGGTTGTAAAAGTAAAAATGTTATAAATATTTTTTACTTGTTATATTTGTGTTTATGAATAGGTGGCATTCTATATGTGCCATATTTAACAAGTTATTAGGTTGCTACCAGATCAGCTCCATTCTGCTAGGTATGAAAAGGAAAACAGAAACCAAGATCCTCATTGTTTGGTTTGTGCTTTGCAAGTTCTAAACATCACATTTATTGTAAGTTTAAGAGAAAAGGAGGATGGCAATTGCAAAGATCATAAGGATGTTTGGTCTGTTGAATGAAAAAGGTCACAGTTCCTGGAACGCAGAAAATCTGTAAGCTTATTCATTCACTCATACTGAAAAAGAAGAACACAGAAAGACTCATCAGTACCTCTTCTGTGACATACTCTAGCCTTAAACGGAACTTGGTTTAGCAGAGAGTTGCAGAAAAAATTTGTAAGTGCTACAGAGAAGCAGCAGTGAGTGGGTTAATAGGAAAGGGGAATGGGCAGCAGGCAGGAAAAAAACAGGCAAATAGGTTTATTATATTTAGATAATAAAAATAACAATTAATATATATATAACATATATAAATGATATATAATGTATGCAAAATGCCACTCCTTACCTGCCAGATAGCAATGCAGGAAATCTGTGGGCACCCTCGGGGATTGAAATTGCTATTTCTCAGCTGTTTGATGCTTTTCTCAGTATGCTGATTCTTCATATTCCTGACATAGAGTTTAACCCTATGGGAACCTGGGTTTTAATGAGCATGAACAGGTTCCTAAAATTGTAATAGGTTTGTTACTTCAGGGACGGATGTGTATGCATTTCCATGTTGAAGGACATACCAGAAGTACTGGGACTTAAAGTTAGCATGGAAAACCAAAGAAGGCACTAAGTGGACAGACTTCTCTAAAGGACTTCTTTTGCTTGCTGAAGCATCAGATCCTACCAGCTTCTGTTCTTACTTCTTGTAGGGCACCTTTAAACCATATTTGCAGTATAAAGCACTTCAGTATTATTTGGAATAGATCCCATACCTCTTTAAAAGTTGGATCTAGTCAAAGAATAATTCTGTAACAACAACGCTGTATTTCTTCCACCCTCTACTGATCTCTAGAGCCAAAGTATTTGTTGCACGATGCTCTTTAGTTCATTCTCCTATCAGCAGCGCAGAGGCATTACAGCAATCTGATGTAATATGCTTTATCACCACCAAAGCAGTTGCCAGGATTACCACATTTTTTTATACTAATTCAGTGAAAGTGTACATGGTGTTTAAAGCACATCTTGATTTTGAGTTCTGGAGTTGTATTTTAGGGACTGTAGAGATAGGACAAGGAGTAACTGGTTAAAACTTAAACAAGGGAAGTTTAGATTGGATATAAGGAAGAAATTCTTTCCTGTTAGGGTGGTGAGGCACTGGAATGGGTTGCCCAGGGAGGCTGTGAATGCTCCATCCCTGGTGGTGTTCAAGGCCAGGTTGGACAAAGCCTTGGGTGGCATGGTCTAGTGTGGGGTGTCCCTGCTCATGGCAGGGGTGTTGGAACTAGAGGATCTTTAGGTCCTTTCCAACCCTAACTCTTCTGTGATTCTATGATTTTCAAGCCTAAAATTCAAGCCTAGCAAATTTGTTTTATTGAGCTAGTGCATACTTTGCACAAATTAAGAAGGTTGAGTATGAAACATCAAGGTAGCATTTTTAGGAACCAAATTTTGCAGCCAGGCATGTAGCCAAAAGCCAAACTATTAAGCTGATTTTGATTACATCTTGAATTGGTAGAAAAGTATCTGTGGGCAAAGAGAAAACTTTGCTTGCTGAGCCTTATCGCTGAAATATCATATGACCTTTCCTGTGCCAATACAACCACTTGTACTGTATTCCCACGACTCCCTCTGGTGGCAAACTTGTCCATCCCAGGTGCTGGGTAACATCCCTCTGTTTTTGATTGATGCTACACATGGGCTACAGGCATTTTGATCGATTCTCAGCTCATTCCAGCAGTGGAAATGCTGTTAAAATTTCTGTTCAAGTTGTGTCTTTTTCTTACTTTTAGTTATATATCTAACAGTTTGAGTTATCAAACTACTGTTAAACCTGCCTAATATTGAAAACACTGCAGAAAATGTTTGTTTAATAATATTTTGTAAAACAAATAATATCTCTGGTTTACATTCTTCCCTTTCATGTCGCCCATCACTATACAAACACCTCACAAATGGTCCTGATTTGTCTTAGGCCAGGCTGATGAGGCAAAGAGCAGCATCACAACAGGGAGCTGCAGCCTGGAGGAGGCAAGTGATTTTCCCAGTTTCACATGCAGAGCCAGTGCCATGCTGGGAAAACCTGGAGTTTCGTCTTACCTGGGGCAGCATACCCCACCCAGTTGTATAAAGGGACTATAACATCTACTAATTCACTTTTATGTTCAAGGTTTTTCTTTCCCCACCATTGGAGACAGCACTGCCTACCAGCTGCCGTCCTTGCCAGACCATCCCTCACTACCTGCCTGCTGCCTAGACATGAAGCAGCGGACCCTGACAGTCTCTGTGTGTCCAGAATCCTGGCAAATGTGGTAGGAATTTGATGAGAGAAGACCCATCATGGCCTGCTCATCCAACTTTATGAAACTGATTGGTACCAAAATTACGTTACATAATTAAGTCACTTTAATGAGAGCTAAACTCCTTTATAAACATTGCTTTGCAACTTATTTTTTGCTTCAGACTTGTCCTTTTTGTGCACATCTGACCTCACTTTCATCAAGCAATGCCATTGGCACTGAAATATCAAGAGAAATTACAGATTTTAGAGAAAAAGGAATCATCCTCTTAACTCAATAGCTGGAGGATGAAAATATTTCTGTTTATCCTGCTGTCAAATCAACTGTGTTTTATTTGTTACGTTGTTCAGATTAGTAACACTGCTTTCCACAAAGGCGCTATGTTGGTAAGTCATACCCCATGCCCACACCGAGCATGTAATTCCTCCTCTTGTCATGAATAAACCTTCTTAGCTGAGTACATAAGGATGATGTGCAAAAGGATCACAACTAGCCCAAAAGGTAGAATGATATAGGGATATGTCTGCAGAACAAAATAGGAAACACTTTAATGCATGATGATGTCCCGGTGATCAAAACAGAGCATGCATTGCAGGGAGATGGGAAATTAAGGAGGTCTCTTATGTCACCTCTGCTAAGCAGGATCCTACTATTTTTAGCATTTGAATTCAGGTTAGAATTCAGGTCTCTCTTCCAGACACACACGTGTCACTGCCTATATATACGTACACGATATATGTGACATAATTTTCTGTTGCCTCAAATGGAAATTTTTTACTCAGTAATTTCTTATTCCGAGGCTGTTCTGAAGAAAGGTAGGTCCAGTTATGTGATCCTAGTAAATTTATTATGACTAAGGCTCTGGTCTTTGTCCTGTAAGTATTTAAGTATAGTCTTTTTATGCTTGAATTTTATTTCTCTATATAAATCATACCTATTGCAGCTGCCATGAAGTTGAGGCATACCTGGCACTGTTGATGTGGGATCAGAATGATGGAACCTGAACACATCGGTCCTGCCCCTGTCTGACAGAGAAGAGTAAACCCTTGCAACATTTTTTTCCCTGTTCAGGTTTGCCCTGTCTTATAACTTCTAAGAGTAGATTGACAATGATAATACAGGAGTATGAGGACTGCCACCTATACAAATTCATCAACACCAGAGGCCATTCCCATCCCAGTATCATAACCATTTTGTTGTGTTTCTCCTTCCTGAGTTTTTTCCTCTGCCCAGTGAATCTTTGTTTTCTAGCTGCAGAGCGGATCAACTACAGCTGAAAGCAGAGCTGCCTAAACCAGCTAAAAGCCAAAGCATTCTCCTGGTACAGGAACAGAATTGATCCAAACACCTACATGCTCAGGAATGGGTAGAAATTGGAGTTTCCTATTCCTGGGTAAGTGCTCCCAAAAGTCAGGCATAAGTACAGTCATTCAAGTGATGAATGAAACAACAATACTGCCTGCAAAGCCTCTGGATTTTGTCTCCACCATTCAATACTGGGGAGCCCTAAGCTGAAGTGCTCTGTGTAGCGTTGAGTTTTGGGCACCATGCTCTGTGAATGACATAAACTAAACAGAAAACATGACAGCAATGAGAATGACACAAGGGCTAAAATCCAGAACTTGCAAGGGAGGTTAAGGAAGACTTAGGGTTGTTGGAGGTCATGATCAGAAACTTGGGTAGCTCAGAGACTGCTGCTAAGTAAGAAGGATCTGTTACCCACATCTGTGCTGACAAGACAAGAAATAGTAGCCTTTGATCAAAGAAAGGGTAGATAGACTACATATTAATGCACATTTTCTTGCAGCAAAGTAATTATGCACTAGAACAGCTCAGCAGGGGAAGCAGTAGATTCTCCATCACCAGAAGCCTTAAGCAACAGGCTAGATGCAGATATAAACTCATCCAGCCTTGGGCTAGCAGAGGGTTAGATGACCTCCAGCTCCAATTTTCAGTGCTATTTTTCTAGGTGTTAGGATTCTCAGAGCACATGTAAGGGGTGAACTTCTGGAGTGGAAAGGCATCCAAACTCTGGATTGCAATAGGCTTTTGTCAGGAAGTAGGTTCTGCATGTTCCTGAATGAAGTAGGTGCTTCTATTTAGGTGCCTGGAGAGCTTTCAGACTGACCTTGTAAACATCTCTAGGGTAAGGCAAGGACAAAGATGCTCTCTGCAAAGATGCATTTGACACCAAGTTTACAGCTGAGCATGGTAATACCCATTCACAGCATATTGGCATGTGACAAGCAGGGAGTTTTAGACTTTGGTGAAGCATGACTAGCTAATAATAACAACTGCATAGTTTATTTATGGATGTAAATTTGCATAGGTTCCTCAGGACTAGTGAGGTCAAGAACCCAACAAATTTTCCCAGATCTGTGACAAAATCATGCAGTTACGTACACAAGATATGCAGTTAACTTTAGACATATAATGTCTTACCCAAGTAGTAAATGTGTACAACTCAGGTTTAAATATGGTATAATTTAGGTACAAACTTTTCCATACCTGTGTAAGACAAAGTATCCACAGCCTATCTGTTCCACCATTTCTTCATGCTCCTCTTCCTTAGTAGCCACTCCAGCATTCACCCTGTGTGTTGTAGAGGCAGCTCTTATAAATTCTCCCTGAGTTCAACTGTCTGAACGAACAGAAACCATCATTTTTTATTGTTCATACCATGACTGCCTTGAATATCCCTGGTTTTAAGTACTGTATATGTTAGTGGTGCATCTTTAGCTAAAACTACAGTATCCAGAATTACATACATTTAAGCAGTTATCAAAGGGTAGGGTAAGCATAGATTCATGGTCGGATTCATCTGGGGTTTTATGTACACAATTCCCTGAGCCATTAGCTGTTGACACACTCTTGGGTAAAAGTACTGATTAGTGAAACTAATTTTTTGTACAGAAACACTTATATCAGCAGCACCATATCACCAACTGTAATGAAGACACGCAGAATGTTGCTTTCATGATACCCTTGTCTTTCTGTGAGTTCATCTAAAAGTCGTGGAATATATATAATTAACATTGTTCATGTAGTTTATTTCTCCCTGGGATTAAAGCACTAACCTTGCCATGTTACACCCCAGCCACTATTCCTAGCCCCAGGTCTGTGTCTTCTCACCCTCACACCACTCCTCTTTCCCTTTCCTTACTGCTCCTTCAGCCCCAACCTGCAGCCTGGCCACAGAGGCATGACTGCAGCCAGCCAAGGTGAAGGGTCTTGCTGAGGGTTTGCAGGCAGTGGATAGAGAGGTACTTACCAAGGCTCTGGCTTTGTTCAGTTCCTTTTGCTGAGAGCCTGGTCTCTGGTCCCACTGCCAGCTGGCACCAGGATGCTGCTCCACCTCCCGGGTTCTCTTCACTGCTGGGGTTTTAACCCCATGAGCTGTGGCTCATCCTGCACACGTGGCTATAGGTTACAGTCGCACATGGGTGAGTGCTGAAGTGCCAGAACTTCTCATGGAGTTCCATGGACATTCCTGCCAATGTAGCAACATTTCTGAGACACCTGGAGAAAGGGCTCTTGGTGACATTCTGCAAAAGCATGTACTGCTGCTAACAGGTAGTTAAATGATTAAAAGGCAGTTGTTTCATTCCTCTAAACTTGCTCACTGGCTCAGTCTCGCAAAAACAAAGTGTACAAAGAGAAGACTTTAACCATGTTTTTTCCATAAAAGCTCCCATATTAGTTTGCCAGGGTTGAAGGATCGTATTTATGCACAGGTTGGTGGTTCTGGGAATACTCTTTACTTGGTTTTGCAGTCAGATAGGAACAAAATCTGCTTCCCATATGTATGCTTTTCCATCTACCAATGTAACCTCTTTCTCTGAGGTACTCATGAATTATCCTTTATTCACCATCTTCATTTCTCTGTTTTTCTTCAGTCACTGGGTATTTTATTTTTTCTCTTACTGCAATATTTTTCATGTGCATTCTCAATCTATTTCTTCTTAAACTCCTTGGTGATTTAATGAAATTCATATGACTTTAATTTCTTTCCAGAATCATAGCCTAAAACGTATTTCCTATCCTCTCTTTGATGTTTTGCTTTAGGGGAAGGTTCTTTAGATGGACTGTTCTTAAATGGCACCCTCTGTGAAGACTCTATTCTTTTCCGTAAGTACGTTTTAAACTCCATCTTAATAACACACTCCTGTATTCGCCTTCAGTGTCACCCTGCTTGTCACCTCAAAGCAACGTTTGTCCATAGTGCTTCACTGAGGTGTAATGAGCAGTATATCTGACAAATACCCAATGATTTCCATGTGAGTGTGCTTCAGTGTGGTTTCTCCTGAAATCACACACTGTCCAAAACAGATTGTACCTTTGCTTTTTTACAAATAAGCAAACTTGGTTCCAAGCTGAAATAACAGGGTCTCTTACCACATTTCTAGCAGGAGGACTAAAACTCTTCAGATACATGAAGCCTGGAGAGAGCTGAGCTCCTCCGAAGCCTTCTAGCCTGTCTCCTGGGTAGGAATGGCTCTCTGAAGCAGCCGTGTTATTTGGCACTACTTCTCCAAGAATAGGTCATATGGGCCCCTGCACTACTATTTGTGTGGTCACTGTCCTCTCTGCTGGTGTTTCACTACTTGTGAATCATCAGCAGGTCAGATATTTCAGATTAGAACCTCACCAGAGATGACTGAGTGTTCCCATGACGCATCATCCCTCAGCAGGCAGCTACCGCTGTAACTCGGGCTGTTCCAGCCCTAAAGACTAGCTCTGAAATAGTCTCTTCCCCAGGCAAGCACCTCCCCAGTTGAAGAGTTCAGAGCACCCCGGCAAGGGCAGACCACGGAGAGCTGCTCCAAAGGCACCTTCAGGGCTAATGTGTTTGACATTGTTTTGCTTATGCTTCCTGCTGCGAATCAAGATGACACTTAGGAAATTAATATATAAAGCTTCTTTATTGCACCACCACATCCCGTTAGCAGTTCAGAGACCAGCTGTGAGCACTTGCTTGCCAAAGCTTCTTACTGACTTCATGAAAGCATGGAGCGCTTTATCAGACTCTACAGAGACAGGTTTTTAACCTTTTTTTTCCCCATTCCTTCTCACTTTTCCCTCCCCAGTGCTGCTGGCCTTGGCTTTTCATAACCCAGCAAACATGCACTCTCCTTAGAAGGATGAGACAAATCCATGAAAATCTAGTGCTCTGACCCATTTGAAGCCATTCAAGAAAGAGCAATTATGAAATGAGGCTTTGTATTGTGATTTTCAGTGAATAAATATGCATCAGAAGGGTGCCACAGGGGCACTGCACTAAAAATGTAATGTTTTGGGGAGGCAATATATACATATTTTCTTTAACAGAACATTTTCTGTGCACTTTCATCAGAATAAACTCATTGGTAGAGATCATTTTTCAAAAATAATTACTATTGGAGCTGTTCACAATATTAGTTTTCATAAATTCATCCGGTTATAATTAATATGTGCCTTTCAAGGGCCTAAAAGCGAAGGCATTCAATATTTCTTGTCTCTAATTTTAGTATGATCTGATTTTCCTCTGGTTGCCTTTCCAAACACCTGGGGCCAGCCATATGAGTAAATTAGATTGTGCTAAAATGCATATTAATGAAGCTCAAGCAATGGTTCCCTAAAGGGACAGTAAAACTATATATAGCTCCTTTTTTCCCCCTCTCTTGGTTAATGTGCCTTTCAACATATTTAGATCCTAGTAAAATAACGCCATTTTGGAATAGCCAAAAAATACAAAGAAACCATTAAAACAAAACCTCAGAAGCACATTTATTTCAAGTGTATAAATGATCTCTCCTTTTAGTACTTGTGCTTTAAAGTTATTTCCTATCAAAAATGGATTTAGTTTTAACTGCCTTATGAGGAAAAAACCTAATATTGAGACCTTTGGGGTAGGAAGAAGTGGCATATTTGTTAACTGCCTACAGTGATTGGTGCATTTTCCTCTCTATAAAAACCCATAGAGCTCATTATAACAGATAGCAGTGGAGGGTGACAACCAATTATCACATGTGACCATCAGAGTACAGAATGGAAGCAGTTTTGGAAAAGGGCACTGGAATAAATCCCTATTCCTCAAGGAAGCCCTGTGGTGTTATTGGGGATTGTCCACAGCAGCATTTAAGTCTGGTTTTTAAGAGAATCAGTGCTGATAGTGCCTTGGTTCACATCACAGAGCAGATATACAGCACATGAACAAGATTCATTCAGGAGAAACTAAACTGGAAGATAGACTCCAGAGTGCACCGACTGCTAATGGGAATTCAGCTCATCGAAAGAGACTAAATGAAATCCAAAATGGAAACCTCCTTACATGTGTGCACTGTGTCCTCAGCACCACCACTTTTGAACCAGGTGGATGCAGAGGAAATGGCTTGCATGACTAGGGAAGCCCAGGTTATCATACCAGAAAAAAAAATGGTTGGGTAATTAGACCAAAGGCTTAGAGAGGATGTGACTCAGTGATAAACAACAGGAAGGGTGAAGAACTACCGAGTCACAAAACAAACTGACACAAAAACAAGTGATTATTAATTGCTCACTTCCTAGAAATTAGGAGGAAGATCTAAACACAGGACTAGAAAGAAGATCTGAACAAAACTGAACTTTTGGAACAAGCTGTGGAATATCATGGCTTAAGGGAGCTCCAAGTGCTTTTAAAATGTAGTTTATGGAAGGAAGTGTATCATACGGCTTCTTTTAAGTGTAGGGGCCAGAATCTGACAGTTTAATCCATTAGAAAACAATCTTTCATCCCTAAGCATTTTCAAAGCACTGATGCAAGTTCTTCCTATCTTTATACTCAAGCCACATTTTAAACAGGTTCAGATATTTTTTAAGAGCCTTCAAGTGTAAAAAGAGGGGAAAATATACAGATGACTTCTCACTGTAAAACAAACAAAAAGATAAAGGAGCAAATCTTTAGGATGAGGAGTAATGTCTGCTAATTTTGGACAGAAATACTGAAAGTGTCATATCTCTTAATTGCCTACAGGAATCTCTGCAGTTTCCTCTTCATAAATACTGCAGTGCCCACTGTAATAGATAACAATTGCAAATAGTGTCTTTACAAACCATGCAATAGTCATGCAATCGCAGCCTGCGGATCTACAGGCCAGTTAGCAGTCCTGCCTATTTATGTGTTTAGTTTTATTGCACAGTGTAAGGCATATCAGAAGAGGCAATCAAGAGCAGAGACAGTCAGAATCAGTGGCTACTTCTCCAAGCATTGCCTGTCAGCCAAGGGCTTTGCCATGCACGATTTTCAATTAGAAAGAGGAGATGTGGATTCAGGAAGTGTCCCCATAGTTACTCAGGTTTTCATTTTCTTCCAAGCACCCCTTCAGAGTCAGCAATTGAAAACATAGGGTGAGAGCTCTCTCTGTATTTAATGAGAATTTACTTTCTCCATTCTACTCTTCTTTCCTGGAGAAATAAAATTGTAAGCATTCCAAAGCCTTACTTGTTACTTTAAAAACAGCATTCAATTGTACAGCTATTGAAGTTTCATTCTAATAGTTCTATTATTCCTATTATTAGCTTTCTTCCTCAAATATCTGTGCTAAGTTTCCTTCTCTACCCTCAAATATCCACCCTCTTGCTCGTCTCTTTGAAGACAATCCCACCCTCTCTGACAGAATTCCCCCTATGCCACCATGGGCAACATTTGGAGTCTGTTGGTTTACAGCACCAGGAACTGCAGGAATAAGTATTCCTGTTACCTGCCCTCCCACTACTACTCATCTCTAGGAGCAAGCAAAACATATCTGTTTTGGCTGAGCAACACTCTTGAGGTAGAATATCCTGGCAGGACGTGATTATTTATTTCCACTGATTGCTTTGGACACCCAAGACATTCAGAAAGCTTGACTCACTTAGGTGCTCTCCACCCTTGGCGTGGATAGAACTGGAACAACAGTGGCCACTCCAAGAAGTAAAGGTTTTCTGAAGGTTTTGGGGTCACTCATGACAAAATGGACAGCCAGTTGGTAGAAAGAAGGTCACCCAGATGCAGGTGCAAGGCAAAGGATGCTCTCATTCAGAAGAGGTCCATGGGTGCTACAAAGGAAAATCTGTAATTTCAGTATGTTCAGTATGTAAGAAAGGAACATTAGTTCAGGGCTCCCACAGAGTTTCCTGCTTTTATTCTGTAACCATCGGATTCAATTGGGCTCTGAAAAATTAAAATGCCAAATATTAAGTTAGTGCATATATTAATAAATGTAGAATTAAAAACTAGAGAGAATGGTAAGAAAGCACAATTTTGGCTAAAACATTCCAACTACATCAGGCAGTGTCTTTCTATAAAAGCAATTCCGGGTCAGTTAAATTGCTCTTACAAAATTTAAATTTTATGCATAAAATATGCAGGACCTTTAACTTTTCATCTTCTATGTTTTAATTGTGTGGTAAAACATGATTTTGTTAAAGTAATTTTGTTCATTTAACTTTGAAGCACTTTTAAAAAGGCAATGACATGGTTTTAAAATCCAGCACATCAAACGATATTTCCATCAACATACAGCAGTTGCCATAAACAGCCTTAATTTCCAGTCTAAATTACTGATCTAAACATATGCAGACAAATTAATGCAATGGAAAATTATAGAACCCAAACTGCATATTTATTTATTGCGACATGTTTCACTTGCATCTCATCTGCCATTCATACAAGGTTACTTCAATTTTTCCCCTTTTCATGCTCAAATTGAGAGGAAAGCTTGTCTCCAAATGTTCATAACCGAGTTGGACTAATCTGCTCACTGGGCTGTTATTTTCTATATGTCATACATTACAGCTTCATTGTTACAACTGTGTTCAGCTGTTTGAGACGTCAAATAACTGAACAATAAGTAAAATTGGCCTTTCAGGTTACGTGTCAGGTGGCTTTGGAGCAGCCAGCCATGCAAAGGGCACTGAGGTGCAGAGAGTAACCAGCGTATGTGTGGTTTTGTTTCACAGCCTGCCTCCTGATGACAGCTTCATAATTGGTTTTGGAGTGACACACGGAACAGGCAGCCTGAACCAGGGCACAACTGAGACCAGCTTCATTGAGAAAGGGTTGTATTCATTGAGGACAGGATTTCTAATAGCAAAAAAATGTCTTAGCTAATGATATTCCACTAATCATCTGAGGCTGGGACAATAGAAAGTAGATTAACTCCCCCAGCAAGTGTTAATGCTGGAAATCAAAAGCGGTGACTGGTAAAATTTATTTCATAGTCTTCAAGAAGAAAAGGCTTCTACTTTACTACAAATTAAGACCTGTTTTCTATGAGACAGCAGACTGTCCTGTCATTCTCCAGACTATTTTAAAGTTGAGCCTTTTTCTCTTCTTTTAGGCATTGCAGCGTATTATGAACAAAAAACTTTAATTGTTCAGGATGTCACCTTCTGTTTGACAGGAGGAAACAAGGAGCGATTACTGCGTCTGTGGATTTCACATGGAGCCAGGGAAGACAATAAAAAAATGAAGCAAGATTTCCTCTTATAAAGGAAAAGGAAAAGAAACCATTTATGAGCAGCAGAATAAATGGCTGTGTTTGATATTACTTTTCTTCTTTCTTTCTCACAATTGAATTGCATTAGCCTCACCTTCTTTCTGTTACTTCTTAAATCTCTCACTTGTCACACACTGATACAGGGGGCTGGGAATGGGAATGGGACCAACACACTGAGGACCTTCTGCCCCTGCATGACTGTGTGAGCCAGGGAGAACTGCTCTGCTCATCTCAGGGAGGAGGCAGCTTTGTGAGCACCACATGCTGTGTGCTGGCCCCTTGTAGAAACTCAACATCCTTGAAGATCATTAAACTGACTGCCTTGCCAGGTGTGTCTAATGGTGGTCAAACAGATCAAAAGCTGTTCAAGGGGAGATGAGGTAAACAGAAAGCATCATATGAAACTGGGATGAAAATACAGAAAGAGAACAGAATTACATGCAGTAATGAGGAATTGATTACAAATACAGCTGAGTCAGTGCAAAATCAGCTGGCTCTTCCACATCTCCTATCCCTTCCACATCACCTCTGTCCCAGCTTCCATTCACCTCCTGGTCCCTTTAGCTGACAAAAATACTCACTTTGTGTCATGTCTGAAGCAAATAGGAATAATTCAGAAAATTCCCCCTGGTACTTGTCAGGAGCAGCTGCCTCCAAAATCCCGCTTTGTCCTGGGCACAAACTGGAATCTGATGTTCTCAAAACCACAGAAAGCTTGTGGTGAATCACTTCAAGTTGTGCAGCCAAAGGCTGGCTGCCTGCAGTCCGTCAGAGCAGTGAATACGTAGCAAACTGGAAGCCGCTGTCTTGGGACACAGGTAATATTCATTCAGTCTGGAACAGTCCCGAGCAGATGTGTGATTTTTTGTAAACAGTTGGAAGAGGCACTGCTGCTGGCTCATGGGTCAACCATGGACACACACAAAACTGATTTGTATGAGCAGCGTAGGGTTGCTCAGCCCCAAGTGTACAAAAGCTCCCTTTTCAGCAGTCTTGCAACTGCAAACACACATGGAAAGCCATGTGCTCTTCCTGCAGTGCATGGCATTCAAATGTAGCAAAGGAAATTGTACTTTGTCTTTGACATTTGGCAACCCTAGCAGCAGCTGTTCTGCCTTAGAGGCCCTTTCAAACCAGCGCCCAGAGCCTGCACCTTGCAGATGTGGGTCTTGAGGTGGCACTGAAAGATGCACTGGTGCAGCCACAGCATTGAGAAGGTCAAACTTCCAGCATCTGATAAGGCCTAAGGAGGAATGATTTTGGGATCACAGACTGAGGAATGAAGCCAGAGATGTCTGCTGGCAGTGCAGGAGGGAAGCAGGGGCTGATGTGGGAGCAGAAACCCCACAGAAGTCATGCCAGGTGGGAGCAGAGGCAGCACAGAGCCAGAGCTGGGGTCCTGCACTGGCTGAGAGGGCCAGCACGCCCCCAGGCCCTATGTGCATCATGGCTGTAGCAGGGACAGTGTTAGTGCCTGGGGCACCAGTGCGTGAGATGCACTGAACCACCCTGCATACCTCTCCTTGGGGTATGCTTGGTTTGACTAGCAGCAGCATCAGGAATACGCAGGACAGCGCTTTGTGCCCAAGGAGACACCCAACACTAGCCAAACTCAGAGAACTAGAGTGAGTCGCCTCAGCTGTACTTGTCCTATGCTTCACATGTGCTTTTGGATATTGCAGCCTTCTAAAACAGGCTCTGGGAAATGAACATTCAGTGGACATTTTAACCACCAATGACAATGAATATGCTTCAGTTGTAATTTCCTTCAACAGGAAAGATGGACATGGAGAAAAATTGGGTTTAGGCCTGAAGAAACAGCTTAAAAGAACTGCTCTATTCAGAGTTGGCAAAACATCATAAAAGTGAGTACAGAAGCAATGCACAGCAGCAGCCACTGCCAGCAGCATGCCATCCCAGATGAAGTGATCCAGCATGGATCTTCCTCTTACAAAGGTGAAACAGATGTAACAGCAGCTCTCCAACAGAAAACAGATTTGCCCCAAAGCTTCGTAACAAGCTTGAAAATGGTTCTCAGACAGAGCTCTGCTCGAGCACATTATCTTCCCTGACTCCCTACCATACCCAAAAATAACAGCCTGGAAAAATGAGCGGCTCCTGTAGTTACTCTTGAAGACAGTTGTATTCAGGTTCTGGTGAAGTAAGGCAGAAGACATTAAAGCCACTGAGTATTTGAATTAGTCTCAGCAGGTCAATTACTACAAAGATTTTCTGCTCTAGTTGGTTGCAGAGAGATGTGCACTTCTTAAAATCCCAGCCATTTTCTGTTTAATTTGTTTGCAGAGCAAGACATAACAGTGTAAAAAAATCAATTGAACAAAACAATTTTATTGGCGTTCACATGCTTCAACAAGGTGTACAAGCCCAAAACCTCAAGCAAGACAAGCAAGCAGTCCTGTAGCTGCTTTCAAAGACCTCTGCTGCTTGCAGCAGCATAGGCTGAGCACACCAGCAGTTTAACAGGTTTTCTCCTTGATCAGTTATTTAGCTTTTCATTCTATTTTGCTGAAAGTGCGTCTCTTTTTTTCTCTTTTTTATTTAGTACAATCACTACCTTTAATAAAAGGTGCATCCCTGTACTTCAGTACATGTGCATTTAGAGCACTATAAATCCCTGCTTTCATACCTCTGTTTCAGTGGTTCCTCTCTACCCCCAGTAGTTTGTCGGGCAGGGGCAGCATGAGAAGCCCATAGAAGTTCCAGCAGATCAAAGAACAGGATCTGTCAGGCCTCTGCTGCCTCCGCATCCAATATTGTGTTGCGGTCCTCAGGGGCCAAAGCAGAACCTTTCATTTGAGAGCTTGCACTGAAGAAGTTCCAGAATACCAAAAAATGGATGAAAGCCAAGGAAAGTCTGTAGGCTTGAGATGCGCAGGAATAAAGGGAGAATTAACACCATCACACACAACCGTGCTTGCTGTCATTAAACAGAGGAGATAATAAAGAAGATGTCTGAGGATAATTAGCTAAAACTGTACTGTAATCTTCAATAGAAAAATAGATCCTTTACAAAAATTCCCTCCAGAAGTCCTGGAGCTTGTATTGATTTCAACACATTAATAATCCTTTTTTGCTTTTATTCTATGTACACATTAGATGCAATTGATATTTAAATTTTGTTCAACCCTTATGAGGCTCAGCAGACAGAAGCAATTCAATCGGAAATAAAGAATGATGTGAAAAGCAGCAAGGGACTGCCTCTTCATTTTCATACAGAAAAATTAATATCCACAGAAGAAGGGCTATTAAATAGGGCAGATTTTTTTCCTTGCTTGAGTAGTAAAGCCACACCGATTTCATATCAAGCATGACCATATCATGCTCAAGAAAGACGGGCAACAGATATGAAATTTGCTAAGATGGGGCAGGGGAGTAAGTGTTCAACTGACCTGTAATGATAAATCCCCAGTAAACCACTAATAGTTGTTACCTTACATTAATGATTTCTGCTTTGTTTTTTTAAAAAAGCTGGTTTTGTCAATACAATGCTATACAAAACACACTTGAAAAGTAGAGAACATTGAGTAAGAGATAATAATTAGTCAAATTTCTGTTTCTATCCCTGTTATAAGGAAATTACCTTACCATTAATGATTAACAATTAAGGAAATAGCCCATAAATAGTCTTCCTCAAAGAGTACAGGGCCAACAGCCTCAGAGGGAAAATGGACAAGCAAAGGAGCAAAAGAGACACAAGTGCCTGCAAAAGCTGCAGATCAACAGCAGCCCTCAAACCCCAGTGTCATGGTTTAAACCAGGACACCCAACCACAGTGTAGGCCCAGTCCCGATGGCTCCTGGAAGCTCAGTGCAGCAAAATCAGGGATTAAAACACCAGATAGTTACATACCACCCTGTTTCATGTCTGAGGTATGAAACAAGGCATTATAACTGCATGAGCTAAAGCTGGAAAGGAGAAACAGGAGAAGCCCCAGTCTGGGGAAGACCTTTCCAACATGCCGAGCAGAAATACAGATCTGATCAAAGAAACTGGCTTCTTTGCAAACTCTGAATGTCGAGAAATAGATGAAACCCAAGCTACTGAAATAGTTTCATCTTCTGATGTGTTCCCTCTACATATCTTATTCTCAGCAGGAAGGTTCCGTATAACAACACCAGCTTTAACTCCTGAATACAACTGTCTCAAAGGGTATTTAGAAGTACAGGCTAGGAAAATATCCCTCCACAGCTATAATGCAGACTGGGGTAAAACCACCATTCCTCAGGGATCCTGAAGCTTCTGGTAACATTGAGGTCACGTAACAACCTATTCATCACCACATCTAATTTCTCCTCCCTCAAAGGGAGGACTACATTTTCAGTATGTTATAACATAAAGTTTTATAATTGTCTTGAACTAGGAGGAGAAAACGGCCTGTTGTTTCTCATCATCTAATCAATGCTTCTGCCAGTTCAGGGCATTAAAATTATAACGCATTTTCCTAGTCCTTGCATAAAAGCGTAAGGAAGACACCAACAAAATAAATTTAAACTCTTCAAAATTCCCCATGCCACATTAGTGCAAATTTCCTACTGTGTGGAAGATGAATCCATATTGCACAAAATCCACAATAATGCAAGAATTAAATTCCGGAATAGCTGTTCCACCCAGGCCTAGAATGAAAAATGGAAAATGAGCAGGGGGGGAAATTGGAAAGGAAAATGTACATGAAATGTATTCTCCTAAAACAGTGACAGAACTTTGAAATAATATTTGAAATTCTACTTTTACAGATGCACTTCAGTTTCTCACACATTTTGACATAATAATTATAGGAAGACAAGTTATTTTAATTTAAGGTTGCATATGAAAACTCCTATAGAGTATACAGATGTAACACCCCAGTGTGTTACACTGATTTATGTGATGGCTGGCTTTGTGTACAGTGATGACATCCTATATGATATTTATATTCTATTAAAGTGGCTGGTAATAATACAGCTTAGATAGCTCCTCAGTTCTCAGGTTGTTGGATAACACAGTTATTGTTTTAATAACTGCATAATGAATCTACATAGGGATGGTGTGCT